ATTTTTTGACATTTCAATTAATAATATATAATAATATTTTCTTTATATCAATACAAAATAAAAATATAAAATATATAAATATAAAATAAATATAAATAATAAATATAAATATATAATATCAAAATAAAATATACTATTACTCTACACTAATTTGTTATTTTTCAGTGAACAAAAAACCAAGGTCTCTTTTGAAAATAGCTGGTACAACTAAGCAGGCTAATTTGTGTTCCCAAGCAAGAAATCTTTATGCTGAAGCCAAAGTTTTACAAAAGAAGACTCAAAGAATTAAAAAGCAAAACCTCCAACTAAAAAATCGTTTGAAATTAGCAGAAACATATGCAAAAAGAAAAGATTTTCAAAATTTCTCATCCCATTTAAATGCTACAACAATCCAATTTTTCGAATCCCAAATAAAATGCCAGAAAAGGAAACCTAAAGGTAGAAGGTTTGATATAAATGACAAGGTTTTAGCATTGTCTTTGTATAAAACTTCCCCAAAAGGGTATAGATTTTTATCAACTTTATTTGCACTACCATCACGCAAAACCCTGTCTGGATTATTAAATAAAGTACCTTTTCATCCTGGAATTAACCTACACATCATCGAAAACTTAAAATGTCAGGTAAAGAACTTGAAAGAAATAGACAAAACGTGCGTCCTACTATTCGATGAAATGGCTCTAGATCCTGGATTAACATATGACAAAAAAAATGACATCATATTTGGGTTTGAGAATTATGATGAACATACAACCACAGCACAATTTTCCGATCATGTTCTTGTCTTCATGTTGAGGGGAATAAAAAAAAAAATGGAAGCAACCGATCGCTTACTACTTTTGTAACGGTACTACGAAGACTGATCGCTTAGTATTATATATCAAACAAGTCATTTCTAATGTTATGTCAACTGGCTTAAAAATAGTTGCTACTGTGTGCGATCAAGGTGCCACAAATGTTGCTGCAATAAATAAATTAAAAGATGAAACCAACAGATATTGTATGCATCAAAATGTTGAAAATCGGTACTTTGGTTTTCTTAAAGATGTGGAAATAGTGCCTATTTTTGATCCACCACACCTGTTGAAATGTATAAGGAACAATTTAATGATAAAAGATGTTACTTTCACATATCGCGGCGAAAATCTTACAGCGTCATGGAGCCATATCAAGACTCTATATGAGTTTGATAAAAAAAATGAAGTGAATGGCTTAAGATCTTTACCCTCACTGAAAGATGAACACATTTATCCTGAAAAAATGCATAAAATGAAGGTTAAATTGGCAGCCCAGGTATTCAGTCAGAGAGTTGTAGCAACACTAAGACTCTTAGTGGATTATAGTAAGTAAATAATATAATAAAAATAAAACAACTTACTAATTTTTTAGCTCCAGACAATAGTTTAAGTGAAGCCAAGGGAACATCTGAGTTTTTATACTTTATGGACCAGGTATTTGATTCGGTAAATGGATCAAGTGTAAAACCTGATAAAGGTAAAACTCTAAGGTGTGCAGTTTCAAAGTCTTCAGCTCATGTTGAGTTCTGGAATGAAGCAATAGGAGTTTTCAATTCAATGAAGTTTGTGACTAAAGATGGAAAATTAACTACACCCCCATATGTTAAAAACTGGGCCATTACTTTACAGTCATTTAAGTATATTTGGGGTAAACTAAATACTAGTTTCAAATTTTTATTACTTAGGAATATAAACCAGACACACTTGAATCCACCTTTGGTGCAGTTAGAAGCCACGGAGTACGAAATACTAATCCAACAACCATACAATTTGTTAGTTCATTAAAAACACTGTTGATCAATAATTTTTCTTCAATTCAATCAATAGGGAATTGTGAAATAACTGATACTGGTGATGTCTTGGATAATCTGAAACAATTTCTTACAGTTAATGAAAATACCAATCCCAGTACATATTTTAATGATACAAATGAATTAAAATTTCCACTATTTCAGAATATTCCTAACTCAATTACCCAAGTTGGTGATATGACTATTGGATATGTAACTGGATATTTGACTCGTTCTATTATGAAAGTTGTAAAACCCATTAATTGCTTGTAGAGCATATACTGTAAACATTTTAACAGATCCAAAAGAAGAATTCATAAATGCAGTTAAAAATATGCTCAATATATTTACTGACATTATACCAAAAATTTGTTTTCAAAAACTAGTAGGACAAAAATTAAATTTTTTATTTGAAACAAACTCCGATTTAAGTCATTTTGAATGTCCTATACATAAATTAAAAGAACTTATCAAATCAAAACTAGTACAATTTTTATTATTTAACTATTGCAATAAAACCAATAAAATTCTCAAAGGTGTGGATAGAAATTTTGATAAAAGTATTTCCACTAACTGTGTAGCATACAGTTATTATATGAAGCACAAAGGTAATAAAAACAAAAAATGAAGAACCTACTATTATTTATATTTTTGTCTTCCCTCTTCAAAGGGTTTTGATATTATTAATTATTATACTTGAAACATTAATACCTATATTATGATTTATATTATATTGGTATGTCGTATGTATCATAATATGTATCGATATTTTTATTATTATCCACATAATATATTGACATTTATGTACAAATTTAAAATTCTTCAAGAATTATTATATTTTAGCCTATAGCAACTTCTAACATTTTTAATGATTGTATTGTAAAATATATATTTGTATAGTTATTATAATTGCATGTATTGCTATATTATGTTTATGTTTAATATACCTAGTATAATTTATTATGTTCATAGTAGTGTAACCTAATCTACAGGTTTTGATATTATTAATTATTATACTTGAAGTAATTTATATATTAATTTATAATATTATATTGTAAGGTACTTATGTATCATATATATTTATCGATATTTATATTATTATCTATATATTTATATATTAATGTTTATATTAAATTTAAAATTTTGCATAAGAGTCTTGAATTGTAAATTTATTAAGAGTAAAAATTAAACATGGAACTATATAAGTGTTGACTATTTACTATTTAGTATTTACTTACCAAATTATGATCTGTATTTGTGTTAACAGTAGGTTCACTAGGCAGCAACAAGCTTTTTTTCATTTTCCACTTTTCCAAGTTTGTGGAAGGAAGCTTGACGTTTGAGTTCCCTGTTCAACATTAAAAATTTGAGATTCTAGTTGAGATATTATTTTTTTAAGCAAAATTAATTTATCATTAAATAGACTTAAAAGTAAAAATTAAACATGTAAATATAGAAGTTTTGACTATTTAGTATTTACTTACCAAATTATTATCTGTATTAATTGTACTAAAAGTAGGTTCACAACCAGGCGGAAACAAGTTTTTTTTAATTTTCTTTAATTAACTTGAAATTAAATAACCTAATAACCTAACCTTACTACTTGTACCATTAAAAACAATAATTTAAATTTCAAAGTTACATACCTTAACTTCAAAATAATTATTTAATTTCATACAGCTCGAAACGCAATCGTTGATTTTCTGTTTCTTTTGCTTGGCCAAATTTCTGAACTTTGCGGCACTTGGTTTTCTTTATGTTCTGGAACCCCTGACATAGTTTAGAAAATGTATAAACAATTAAAAATAAAAACGAATAAACAAAACCGACGACAAAATTGTATTACATATTATTACATATCTGTAGCCAGTCCACTGAGCGTCTTTGCAGTATAAACTATAAATGTATAATAATAATTAATAATACATATTACATAATAATATTATCAGAAAGATAAAAAGAAGTAACAATAATACAAGCAAAGAAAACCGACATAAGGGTATGACTAAAAATAGAATTTTAATTCCACATTTACTATAGAAATAATTCTTTCCCGTATCATTTATGATTATGAATAAGTATAATGACTGTACAATTACTAGAATAGCAAATACCAAAATACTATTCGATAATTACTAACAAAAAAAAGAGATTCCTATAAAACCAGACGTACACGCTGTAATGATCCTCATTAGTTAATATTATATGATTTACTGTTTTTACATAAAAACACTATTATTGTAACACGCAGCGGCTTAATGTAAAATACAATATATGAACGCTGACGTTGTCATAAACAATATTAGAATACGTATATTTTTAGTTAATAGGGCAAAAGGGTTATGCACTCGCAGTCGTGGATAATGCTGATCTATGAGTGGCGTGATCATAACAAAGTGAAAAGTAGTAACATAAATAGCTAAGGGCAGCAGAGATTCGGGGAGTCTGCCTTGGGACACGAACAACGTTGTACTTGAGTCTTTTTGATTGTTTAAATGTATTGTAAAATACTTTGAAATATATTATATTTAGTGTTATTTATGCTAGTATACTTTATTTCCTTCCATACCTCAATTTTTATAAGTGCTTGCCGGACACGTTACAACATTTTGGTGGCAGCGGTGTGTCGAAATCAAGTAAAAAAAAAATTGATTTGGTTTATACTATATCAATCAGAAACTCGTCAAAACTAAGTCAAAATCAAGCCTAAATCAAGTCAAACTACAACGTTCAAGTAAATATAAAAAGCAGTCAACTCCAAACAGAAATCAACAGTACGAGTCATATTCAATCAACAGTACGAGTCATATTCAATCAACAGTACGAGTCATATTCAATCAACAGTACGAGTCATATTCAATCAACAGTAGGTACGAGTCATATTCAATCAACATTCAATTCAAATTCAATCAACTTTCGAATCAATAGCAGAAATTTCAGTCAAGTTCAGTATTTCAATTTTTGTCATCATTCAACAAGGACGATATCAACGTTACGATTATGCAAAAAATTTGGTAAATAATATTCTATATTTATGTCAAATATCGATTCAGAGTTAGAGTGGTTTTTTAATTTGTCTCGTAGGGTATCAGAGGGGGAACAGAGAGATAATTATCTTCTTCATTTACAAAATCTAGTAGGTCACATAGAAATCAGTAAGATCAATAAATTAAACTTTGACAACGCGATTAGAATGTTGCCAGAATTCTCGGGTTTACCGACCCAAGACTTAAATCTTTTCGAAAAGAAATGTGAGTTCGTGTTTAAGCACATTGACGAAACAATTGTGAATGACGTGTTAGAAGCGTTGTTGTGTAATTTATCAGGAAAAGCTTTATGCATAACGCAGCATAAAGTTATAACAAATTATAAAGATCTGATTACTATATTAAGGGCGAATTTTGGAAACAACTTCTCGGGGACATATTTGTCAAAGCAATTAAATTCCATTACTCAGAATAAATACGAAAAAATCCAGGACTATGCTGCAAGGGTAGAACTAGCATTATACAGATTATTAAGTGAAATGACTAAAGATAAGACAGATGCAGAAAGCATAACTATTACTAAAGTATGGACTTCACAGGCGCAAAATATTTTTATAGACGGGTTAGATTTCCAAATTAGAACTGTATTAAGGGCGATGAAATTAGATAGTCTGGAGGAAATGATTAAAGCAGCATTGGAAGAAGAACAGGCGTTAGGAAATTTAAAACCGAAATTTGAAAAAACTAACATGACTACTTTTTCAAAACCTAAGTGTTTCAATTGTGAGGGGTATGGGCATTTAAGTAAAGATTGTAGGAAACCTAGGAAATCTACGAGTAATGCTTTAGGAAATACTAGTACTTTTATTAAAAAGGAGTATAGCACCTCAAGCAGTACAATGTTGTGTAATTATTGTAAGAAACCAGGTCATATTGTTAAAGATTGTAGGAAATTGAAATACAATAATGAAAAAAAATCTAAATCTGGCGAAGGTTCATCGACATCGACCGATATTAAAACAATAGGCGATTTGAAAAACAACCAAGTTTTAATGTGCAAGAACAGAGGGAAACAGATTATAGAATTAGTTAAAAACCAGGTTAAAGTTCACTCACAATCATTTAAATCAAACGAAAATACATTTTTAATTGATACAGGTGCGGATTTAAATTTAATCAAAATCTCAGCCGTGAATAATAACGTACCTATAGAATTGAAAACAAGTAAATTAAAAGGTATTCACGAAACTCCTATCATTACTTTGGGCATAATTAAAATTAATCTTCGGATTAATGATAATTCTTATTTTGACACTATATTCCATGTAGTGGATGATAAATTTCCAATAGTTGTATCAGGAATTTTGGGAACACCATTTTTTATTAACAATGATGTGACATTGAATTTAAAGAAAGGCGAAATGATTATTAACGTCGAGCAAAATAAAGAAAACGTTATCTGTATTCCTCCGAGATCAAATAATGTTGTACCCATTAAATTTTATGATGATAAATTAAATAATAATGATATAATAATTGATAGGAAAAATATATCAGACACTTTATGGTTAGGTACTACATTAAGCACGTGCACCGATAGGACGATATACGCGAATGTTATCAATATCTCGGAAAATAGCGTAAACTTACAGGTGGCACAATTAGCTAATATGAATTGGGAGTTATATACAAACTCGTCGGAAATGAAAAAACAAGAAAGTGCATACTAATCAATTACGTCTATTAAGTACTTCGAAACTAATAGTGTAGGGCAAAGTCTAGACATCGATTTTACTGATAGGAATAAAACTATTATCGAACAACTAATTACTGACCACCTGAATCAAGAAGAGTTGAAAGCATTAACTGATTTATGTTACGAGTACTCCGATGTATTTTATGTGGAAGGGGACAAAATCGTCGGAACGGACTTAGTCACACACAGAATAATCACTCCACCTAATCACCCACCGATCAACATAAGGCAGTACAGATTGGCGGAACAACAGAAAGCAGAAATAAATAGGCAAGTTGCGGAACTGGAACGACAGGAGGTCATTACCAAAAGTAACTATCCATGGAATCATCCCTTAATTTTGGTACCAAAGAAGTGTGGAATAGACGGGAAAAAAAAGTTCAGGCTGTGCGTGGATTTTAGAAAACTAAATTTGATAACAGAAGGCAACTCGTGGCCTTTACCATTAATCACGGATATACTAGATAAACTGGGACACTCTAAGTACTTCTGCACTTTGGACATGGCGAATGGATACCACCAGGTAGCGATACACCCTGAGGACACACATAAAACAGCATTTTCAACCTCAACGGGTCACTGGGAGTGGATCAAAATGCCATTCGGTTTAAAAACCGCACCGGCAGTTTTTTCGGAACTTATGCACGCATTATTAGTGGGATGTGAAGATTTAAATATGTATGCTTATTTAGACGACATTGTCATAAGCGCAGAATCACTAAGTTCAATGATAAAAAAATTAAAATTAATTTTTGGTAGGTTTCGAAAAAATAATTTACAACTTCAACCACACAAGTGTCATTTTTTACGGAAAGAAGTGACGTATTTGGGACATAAGTTATCAGAAAAAGGAGTACAACCAGATGAAAATAAAATTGTTTGTGTAAAAAATGTACCGATTCCAAAAAACCAAACAGATATTAAAAGTTTTCTGGGATTAATGGGATACTACAGAAAATTTATTGAAGATTACGCAAGGATCGCAAAACCACTAACAAGTTTACTAAAGAAAAATACGCCATTCATCTGGGGTGATGCTTGTCAAAATGCGTTTGAAAAGTTAAAATATTTATTAACAACCGAACCAATACTTGAATACCCAGATTTCACGAAAGAATTCGTATTAACCACGGACGCATCAAATTTCGCTTTGGGCTGTGTATTATCTCAAGGAAAAGTTGGGGAAGATAAACCAATCGCATATGCATCCAGAGTGTTGAACAAAAGTGAAATAAACTATTCTACGATTGAGAAGGAATGTTTAGGTATCGTTTTCGGTATAAAATATTTCCGTCCTTATTTATGGGGCACGAAATTCAAAATAGTTACAGATCACAGACCACTAGTATGGTTGTTCAATGTGTCAGATATGAACTCTAGATTAGCACGATGGAGAATTCTACTTCAAGAATTTGATTATGAGATAATATATAGACCTGGTCGAGAAAATGGAAATGCGGACGCCTTATCAAGAATTTTGCTAATTACAAATGGAACTGAAGAATCAGAGATTATGCCGTTTGAAGAATTTATGGACAGCCAAAACGTTTATATTAATAAAAACGTTAAAGAGGTGAATGAACTGCACACAAATATTCCGGTTGATTATAGCGAGTTAATAACAGTATCAAGTGATTTAACGATGAGATTACACGTATTACGAGAATACATACAACAACTAGGGCATATAGGGAAGCAGGTATCACGAATGAACTCAGTCGAAGAGGTCACAGTAGTAAGCGATAATGGAAAAAAATATTTATACGCCATAACAAATGAAAACTTTAATCAGAGTCCAATGTATAAGCTATACAATACCTTGATAAATGTAAAAAACGTATGTATTCGAGAAGAAATATTTAAATTGGCTATTACAAAAATTATGTCGAATTTAAATTTCGATGTAATCAGAAGTATGATACGTTATATTTTTCGACATACTTATATTCAAATAAATATATACACGGATTATGAGATTAAGGAAGAGCAAAAACAAACACTAATCGAAGAACAACACATCACATGTATTGGCGGACATCAATGGGTGTCAAGAACAGTAAAGAGATTAAAGTCATGGGTTTATTGGAAAGGTATGAAGAAAGACGTACAGAAGTTTGTGAACAATTGTAAGAAATTCCAAGTAAATAAGGAGAAAGACGTACAAGGCAACCAATGGTCATAACGACAACTTCAACAAAAGCTTTTGAGAGGGTAGCATTAGATATAGTGGGACCTCTCCCAACTTCGGAATATGGCTATACACATATTTTAACATTACAAGATGACTTAACTAAATTCTCAGCAGCATTTCCAATCAAAGCAACAGATGCAACAACTATAGCAAAGACTTTTGTAGAAAAATTTGTCTGTTATTTTGGGATTCCTAATACCGTACTCAGTGACCAGGGTTCAAATTTTTTGTCAGATATTTTTAAAAAAATGTGTAAAATGTTGGGGATTAAGAAATTACAAACTACTGCTTATTCTCCGATGTCAAATGGAGCACTCGAACGAAGCCATAAGACTTTGAAAGAGTTCTTAAGAAACTTCAGTGATATGAAGAAAAACAATTGGTGCGAGTTCATATGTTTTGCTATGTATACATATAATACAACTCCACACACGTCACATAAATTTACACCTTATGAGTTGGTATTTGGTATTCAACCAACCATTCCATCACAGTTCTCGAAATTAAATAACAACGGGTATAATTATTGTAATTATGTGGACGATTTACGAACACGGATGCAAGATGCACGGCAGATCGCAAGAAAACATTTAATCGAAGCAAAGAAGAAAGCAAAAATTACGTATGATAAACACGTGAATGTAATCGTGAGTTTCGCTTCTAAATCGCTCTACTACTATAAACGACAAAAACTATTAAACGTGGCCGCCCGACTTGCTAGACACTCAACAAATCACGGGGAATATATTACGACTAGCCCGGGCGCCCGAAATGTTATTATTTATATATATTTGATTTACGTCATTTGGCGTTTTCATGCCTTGACCCTGACGTCGCACTATCCGACGAAGTCAGATTGCCTACCAGGGTCCAACGCCGAGGAAGGTGACTGACCTGCTAGACACCAAGACATAAACCATTTTTTTTGCACGTGACCTATAACTTAATTTTGCGTCAGAAGTCACACATTGTCCGCTATCCGACGCTTTACCCCAGATCCCCTGATAGACCCCAAAACATATTTTCGCGTAATTACGTCGAGGAAGGTGACTAGGAAGTAGTCGGATTGCTTACGAAATGTTTTGAATTTTCATTACTTAATTGATTTGGTGACTGTAATGGACGCTGTCCCGGCCTCACATTGCCTACCCGGATAACATTGATGGGTGACCTGCTAGACACAAAAAAATCAAACGGGGGCTATATGATTTGCACGGACGACCGAAATATTTTGAATTTTCTTCATGTAATTTATTCTTTAATTTTGCGTTTTCGGTAACAGTAATGAACGTCGTCCGCTGTTCGACGCGGTCGGATTGCATACGTGATGACGTGCCCCAGCCATCGAATATTGTCGGATTGCCTTCCAAGGTGACTACGACCAAAGTCGAGGAACGTGACCGACCCGCTAGACCCCAAACACTATTACTACGGCGAACGTCATTCTAGGTGTCCGAACTGATAGAAACCCACAAAAATACGACGACTATATTATTTTTTATATTACCTTTTACTATATTAGATTTTCGTAATCGTGTGTAGGTTCTGCGTTATGATTCATGTCCTATGTGCAGTGACGTCGAGGAAGGCGACTGACCTGCTAGACACCCCCACAAAAAGGCGGCTGTTGCACGAAGTCGGATAGCCCACCCGTATTGCTACGGCGAACGTTATTCGAGGTGACTGACACCTGCTAGACACTCACAAAAATTACTATATTATTTTTTTACCAAATTTCGAATTTCCGGCGGCGTTGTCGAAAAGACTCTGTCGAAGACTCTGCCCTGGCTACCACGTCGAACTGCAGTGGTCCTGGCCTTATCACACAAACTTATCAGGATACATCCTCTTCGCCGATATACCGTGTCGGCTCGAGACCGCACGTCCGCAACACGTCGAGACCACCGCAGCTTCGGAAATTGACAACACTCGGGGCCCGGTCACGGGGGTCTGGGGGTGTCCCCCAGCGACGCTCGGAGAGCTAGTCTCTATATATAAAGCAAGAAACCGAGGGCGCCCCCTATGTGTTAAATCTCAACTGCTTAGTGAACAAAGGAACGAATGGCGGTAAATCGAGGCGGCGCAGCCGTCGCTGCGTTATCACTCCTCCTTATCGCTTTTCGCGGTTTTTACCGTCTTTCACGATTTTTTCCCCGTTCGGACCTTATTCGCGTTTCTCGGTAAATTTATAGTCGGCGCGCGGCCCTACTTTTTTCCCGGCGGGCCCGCGGCGGCGGATGTCGCGTGCGATACGAGCGCCGCCGTCGCGCGCGTTTTTTGCATTTTTTTTCGAAAATACGAGTTTTAGGCATTTTAGGGCGTATCGACCTCCCCGTTTGGATCTTATTCGCGTTCCCCGCTAAATTTAACGTCGAAACGTGGTCCTACTTTTTCAAAAACGAGTATCCCGGCGGACGAATCGATCGCCGAGAGCGCCGCGTCTTCGCCGTTTCGACGGTTTTCTCGACATTTTCGACTAGAGTCGCGTTTGGCACCTCTACGAGACGTCCGACCTTCCCTACGGCGACGTATTCGAGTTCCACGCTAAATTTATAGCCGGCGCGCGGACCATCTTTTTCAAAAACGAGTCCCGGAGAGGTGCGGCGTCGCTTAAACGAGAGTAGGTACCGCTATATACAGGCATAAATACATGCGTTTCGTGGTTCGATTTTTTTCGAAAATCTCGCGTTTTATACGTCAGAGGGCGGCGGATCGCCCCCTCAAACGCCTTTTGACGGCCGTCCAAACGGCGTTCGCCTTTCGCGTGCACGGCGACGTGGCTTAAGAGTCATACATTTGACTCTAAATTTCATCTCAGTAGGTGGCTAGGTTGGTTAGGCGTAAGGACAAGTTACTCGAGGGTCGTGGTTTCAAACCCAGCAGCCGGGATTTTCGATAATCTGCGGCGGCCCTGTTAAATTTGAATTTTTTTTTTCGTCTTATTGTATTTAACGAAAATGTTCGGTTTTTTTTAAAATTCGAATTTTACCGCCTCTACGGACTAGACTTACTCGCGTTCCCCGCCAAAGCAGTCCTTGATACTTTTTATTACTATACACGGCTTGAATATATGCGTCGAAGAGTTCGATTTTCTTTTTTGCAGTTTTTTTCAAAAATTCGAGTTTTAGCCCGTGTCGGTCGTATCGCCCTCCCCGTTTGGGTCTTATTTGCGTTCCCCGCTAAATTTACTGCCGGCGCGTGGCCCTACTTTTTCAGATACGAGTCCCGGGGAGGAGTGGCGTCGCGGAAACGAGAGTAGGTAACGCTAAATATATGCGTCGAGTCGTTTTTTTCTAAAATTCCAGTTTTAGCCCTTTTCGACACGTCTGCAATCCCAGTTGATGACTTATTCGCGTTCCCCTCTACATTTACTCGACCACCGTCGAGTAGGTGTTACTATATACAGGCATCGAAATGCATGCGTCGAAGGTTCCTTTTTTTTTCTCGAATATCGCGTTCTGAACTCAGTAGATAGGTAGCACGGCCGCCGCCGGAATTTTTTTTTCACTTTTTTCTTTATTATTACTTTTCGATTTCACTTCAGCCTTATCATATTATAACGAACATTTTACGATTTTTTCGAGTTTCACCGTCGAAGGCTTATTCGCGTTCCCCGCCAAATGTATAAGTCAGTGCTTCGCTCGAGTCGAGTGCCGCGGAGGAGATCGGAGAGCGGACAGTGTCGTTATTACTATATACGGAAATGAAAATATGCGACGAAAAGTTCGATTTTTTTTTTCGTCATATAAATATGATTAACGGAAACGTTTCCGTGTTTTTCGGAGGATCATGGGGAAACAAAATCCCAATCAGCTTATCGAGTTTCGCTTCTAAATCGCTCTACTACCTACTATAAACGACAAAAACTATTACACGTGGCCGCCCGACTTGCTAGACACTCAACAAATCACGGCGACTATATTAGGACTAGCACGGGCGCCCGAAATGTTATTATTTATATACATTTGATTTACGTCATTTGGCGTTTTCATGCCTTGACGGCTTGACCCGGACGTCGCACTATCCGACGAAGTCAGATTGCCTACCAGGGTTGCTACGTCCAACGTCGAGGAACTTGACTGACCTGCTAGACACCAAAACATTTACCAATTTTATTGCACGTGACCTATTACTTAATTTTGCGTCAGAAGTCACACGTTGTCCGCTATCCGACGCTAGACCCTAGATCCCCTGCTAGACCCCAAAACATAATTTCGAGTAATTACGTCGAGGAAGGTGACTCGGTAGTCGGATTGCTTACGAAATGTTTTGAATTTTCATTACTTAATTGATTTAGTGACTGTAATGGACGCTGTCCCGGCCGCACATTGCCTATACATAGATGGATAACATAGATGGGTGACCTGCTAGACACCAACAAATCAGACGGTGGCTATATGATTTGAATGGACAACCGAAATATTTTAAATTTTCTTCACGCAATTTATTCTTTAATTTTGCGTTTTCGGTAACAGTAATGAACGTCGTCCGCGATTCGACGCAGTCAGATTGCATACGTGATGACGTGCCCCAACCGTCGAATATTGTCTTAAAGTTTGACTACGACCAAAGTCGAGGAAAGTGACTGACCCGCTAGACCCCAAATACTATTACTACGGCGAACGTCACTCTAGGTGACTGAACTGCTAGATACCCACAAAAATTACTATATTATTTTTTTTATCAAATTTCGAATTTCCGGCGGCGTCGTCGAAAAGACTCTGTCAATGACTCTGCCCTGGCTACCACGTCGAACCGCAGTGGTCCTAGCCTTATCACACATCCTTATTGGCATACCACCTCTTCGAAGATATACCGTGTCGGCTCGAGACCGCAAGTGCGCAAAACGTCGAGGCCACCGCGGCTTCCGAAATCGACAACAAACGGGGCCCGATCACGGGGGTCTGGTTGTGTCCACCAGCGACGCTCGGAGAGGTAGTCTTACTATATAAAACGAAAACCCGTGTGATGCGTTAAATCGGCCCTGACTTAGTCAACCTCGCCAATGAGAAAATTCCATGGGCGGTCTCCCGGCGGCGGCGGAGCCGTCGCTGCGTTATCACTCCTCTTATCACTTTTTAACGTTTTTTTTCGAAATTTTCAAAAATTTTCAGATTCTTTCGGCTTTGCCCCCCCTGGGGGGCCTGGGGGCCCCGTTCGAACCTTATTCGCGTTCTCCTCTAGATTTATAGTCGCCGCGTGGCCCTGCTTTTTTCCCAGCGAACCCAAGGCGATGGATATCGCGCGCGATATGAGCGCCGACGTCGACCCCGTTTTTTGCCGTTCTTTTCGAAAATTCGAGATTTAGGCGTTTTAGAGCGTATCGACCTCCCCGTTTGGATCTTATTCGCGTTCTCCACTAAATTTATAGCCGGCGCGCTGCCCTTCTTTATCAAAAACGAGTCCCTCGGCGAAAGAGTCGATCGCGGAGATCGCCGCGTCGTCGCCGTTTCAACGGTTTTCCCGACTTTTTCGACTGGAGTCGCGTTTAGCACCTCTACGAGACTTCCGACCTCCCCGTCGTCGACGTAATAGATGGACAGAGCGCAAAGATGGAAGAGAAGGCTGAGCTCGGGAAGCAGACCAGTTGGACGGATGTCGTCAGGAAAAATACAAGGAGAGGAAAAGGCGAAAAACCAGTCGACAAACCAGCTGAGCTGGCAGTCGCGGGAACAAGACGGACCAACCAGAAGAACCCGCCGATGAAGCGAAAACCTCCAGCATTATTGGTGCGCGTAAAGGAAGGAGATTACAAGAACGTACTCCAAAAAGTAAGAAACAGCGATGAGATCAAAGTAGTCGTGGACAAAATAACAGCGCTCACAAAAACCAAAAGCGGGGACCTCTAAGTGCGAGTAAACCCTGGCCAAGAAGGAATGGCTCCCTTAGCCGAAGCTCTGGGGGCGGCTGACGGAGGAAATGAGTTGGTCAAAGAACTGATGCAATATCAAAAGGTGGTGATACAAGACCTAGACGAACTGTCGAGCGAGGCAGAAGTGCTAGAAGCTATAGCAACCGCAACGGAAGGCACGGCAGGAGAGGCAAAAGTGGTCACCACGATAGCGGCCAACAGGGGACAGAAGTGGATGGTGGTCTCATTACCTACAAAGGCAGCTAGCATAGCACATGCGAGCGGAAAACTGCGAGTAGGGTACGTAAACTGCAGGGTGAGACAGTGGGAAGAACGCGGACGCGGCAGGTGCCCAAGGTGCTTGGTCGCCGGTCATGCCTCTGAGGACTGTAAAGGGCCAAATAGACGGGACTGCTGCCGCGCGTGTGGCGCAACAGGCCACTTTGAGGCTGGCTGCGGAGCAAGCGAAAAGGACAAAGCCACTTTCAGGGCTCAACTAACTTTGGATAGATCGCCAACGGCAGGTAATCCAAGCCAACAATGATCAAGTTTATGCAAATAAATGTGGACGGAAGAAAGAACGCTCATGATTTAATGATGGCCACAGCGAGTCAGCAGGGAGTCGACGTGCTGATAATCAGCGAACCACATCGCAGCGGGCAAGACTACGACGGATGGTACAGCGATGCGGGCAACAAAGCAGCTATCATGGCATTCAATCCGAGAATACAGGTTCAGGAAATTGGCCCAAAAGACAACCTAGGCTTCCGGTGGGTTAGGATTGAGAATACTACGATCTATGCCTGCTATTGGTCCCCCAACACGGACTACACGCTGTTTGTCGACTTCCTTGACAGATTAGAAGGCAGTATAAGAAACAAGAAGGGCATGGTGATAGTTGCCGGAGACTTTAATGCTAAATCACCAGCATGGGGGGATCACAGAGAGAACCATAAAGGAAAAACATTGTTGGACATGACGGCCAGTCTCGGAATGGCCGTATGCAACTCCGGCGACAAACCTACCTTTACAAGGGTGTACGAAGGTGGCATATCAAGGTCACACATCGATATCACATTCGTATCGGAAACGGAGAGCCGAGTAGTGAAAGACTGGAAAGTTTCGGACGAGTACACGGGATCGCTACACAGTTACATATATTTTAACATTTCACGGACGTTGCATGCAGATCGCGTTCAAGTAGAGGAAAGGTGGTCATGGAGGAAGCTTGACAAGTCCAAACTACTGAGCTTCATTGAGCGGACTCACTTTGAACCAGGAACAGAAGCACTATCTACTACAGAATCCCTAAACCGGTATTTAAAGGACGCATGTGACAGCTGCATGCCGAAAGGAAATTACCGTGGGGGGAAAAAGCCAGCGTACTGGTGGACCCAGGAAATATCTGACCTGCGTGACGAGTGCAAGAGGGCCAGGCGTAAGTACAAGAGAGGGCGCCATCGGCCAACGGAATTGCAGGAGCAGGCACGCGATAACTTTAAACAGACGAAAAAGGACCTGAAGAGAGCTATCAAGCGAAGCAAAGAGAATTGCTGGAGAGACCTCTGCGACCAAGTGGAGACGGGTCCCTGGGGCCTACCTGACCAAGAAGCTTGTGGGCAGGAGACCGATACCAGGACTCACGCTGCCGGGCAGGGTGGACTGCATCATCGAAGGATTATTCCCCAGGGATGAACCAACCGCATGGCCACCATTATGTAGCTAACAGTATAGCCCGTTATAAATAGATTACAGCGGTCTATACTTTAATATATATAGTATATACACATAATATTTACTTAAATAACAGGTGAAGGTATTATTATCAGGAGTTAAATACTTCAACTACGTTAAAGTTAATTTAAAGTTCTTGCTGAATTTCTATTTTATACAAAACTAGGTGATCCCGTGCACTTCGTTTCCCGTTAAATGTACCAACTCTATATGACTCAAACATTGTTCAATGCGTTATTTAATATTCGGTGTATGATGTTCTAGATTTATCTTAACTTTTCTGTTGCCCGGAATAAAAATTCTGAATTGCAGCAGTACATTATCAGATAGGTAATTTACCTGCGGTAGATCGCGGACCCCGTACTGTTTGTACGTAAGTGTATGGTTTAACTCAAAAAGTACCAAAGTTATACCAAGTTTGACGTTTTTACTTAATTCCACCTACCTATAAATCCTAACCTAACATAACCGTACTGAAATCCACTGAATAAAAAAAACAAATTTAACCCTTTTTAAATTAGCGTATCTTCTTCCCATAGGTCTAATCTACACACCGTCATTAATCCAACGCCGCGGTCGCGGCGCAGAGCTAAGTAAAAAAAGAAAGAAACTAGCGCGCGACGACGGTATATATTACACGAGAGAACCAACTTGTATTTAACCAATGTTATTTTACGAAAATCATGTCGACCACCCTGTAGCCTAAACTAATGAACCAATTGACTTGAAACTTTCACGAATAGCTCAGTTTGGTGTGTAGATGATTCTGTGAAAATTTAAAGTTTATCGGAGTATTACAGCCTTAGTTACATGCTAAAGTATTAACATAATAATTAAGCAAAACGCTATTTTTTTCATCAATTCCACAATGTATATGTTCCGCGGCGTTGGATGTTTGTGCTGGCCGCCCATTTTTCCCCTTCCACTCGTCGGTTGAAATCACTCGTTGCGTAATCCGTCGTCATGGCGCTGCGTTGAACTATCTGGCCGTCTGAATTTCCCTCTCCATGCAACGGGTTTACGTCTTTTGTGTATGAGTGTAAATGTGAAACGAAACATTTGATAACCGACAGTTGTACTGTACTGTACTGTTCCGTGCCCGTTGTACATTAATTCGCCCTGCGTAGTTGTGTACCTACTTGTGTTTGCTTTGACGTCTACCTCGTGTTGTGTGCCTTTCTAACCTATAATTACGGCGTTCGTTGAAATTATTGTTACAAAGCCACAAAGGCGTTTTGCGGTGAATAATTCGCAATTTTGTGCATTTTAAAGTGTGCAAAAGTTAATAGCATAACATGGTGTCCAATGCTTATAAAAAAAAAATTAAAAAACGTGAAATAGCGAGTAAATACAAAGACAGAAGAGTAGCTCTTCTTAAATGTCGCATTCTATCTACGGCAAATCGTAAATTAGAATGTAATTTGGTTGTAAATAAAGAGCATAATATTGAAAAAATAATACAGAATAAATTGTCTAAAAAACAATTGAGTTCTAAAAGAGCAAAATTAATTATTTCTAATGAATCGACAGATCAACATGTAAGAAAAAAAAAGCAGAGTAAATTGTCTAAAAAACAATTGAGTTCTAAAAGAGAAAAATTAATTATTTCTAATGAATCGACAGATCAATATTTTAAAAACAAATGTCGCATTCTATCTACGGCAAATCGTAAATTAGAGTGTAATTTGGTTGTAAATAAACAGCATAATATTGAAAAAATAATACAGAATAAATTGTCTAAAAAACAATTGAGGTCTAATAGCACAAAATTATTTCTGTTTAAAGGATCGACAGAAAAGTGGACCAACAAAGTTATGAGGTCTTTAAAATGTCCCCTTTATAAAGCGAGAACGATTGCAGAAAAATGTATGAAGTGGGCTTTGCTTTGCCGAAAAAGTAAAATTAAGTATTACAAAAAACACGTGAATTTATTAAGAAAAACTATTAAAAATAATATTAATCATTCGGTAGCTATACCCGATGATCACCATTTGAATTTTGAATTCCTGATTTCTATTCTAGGTAAATCACATCACTGCAAGCATTCTGAACAATACTTTTTAGATCCAATTTATAAAGTATTACCTAATCAATTTAAAACGAATTTACAAATAAACGAACTTGGTCAAATTATGAATTTGTTCCCTTCGATAAATGACGATGTAGGAGTTACGTGGAGCTGTAATAAAGATATATGTAATTTCGACTATTTTTATATAATTCCAAAACTGTTGAAAACATTTAAATTATTTATAATTCTAAAATTACACGACTTTCCACAAAAAATTAAAAATATTGATTTGTGTAGTAGTGAGACTAAAAGTTCGATTAAACTGGGGCATCCGTTTGCATGTCATATAAATTTCAAATGTAGTTCAACATTATTATTCCTTAAAAGTTTAGGGTCCCATTTTCCAAGTCTAAGATCAATTGTTTTAATAATATACAAATTAAGGAAAACGCAAAGACAAATTGAAAAAATTGATAAAGCTATTTATACGTCAAACGTGACTGCTCTTAAAAACATCGAAGTAGAATTCTCTAAATCGGGGCAAAATTTTCATATGGGTGATATGACATATCTAAATGAAGATGCAATAATTGGAGGTCATCAATTGGCTTTTCAAAACTTTTATAAAAAAGCGCTTGATCTCCCAACTCTTGGCTGTATTTCTTGTCATAAATTGTGTTTCAAAAAAAACCTTATTGAATTAAAAAATATGAAAAGTCCTATTCTCCATGAAGACTGGAGTAATCTTATTGAATTTGTTCAAGAAAATAATTTACCTAACGAATTTGTGTGTAAAAATTGTCTGAAAATATTTAGATCTGCTAAAATGCCTGCCCAATGTATACTTAATGATTTGTTTTCGCCAACGACACCAGATGTAATATTCTCATTAAATCACTTTGAAAAAATACTGATTCAACGTGCTAAAATATTTCAGGTCGTTGTTAAAATGAATACGGTATCAGGTAGAAATCATTGTCAAAATAATATGATTCAAAAAGTTATAGGTAAAGCCTTTCATTTGCCTTTGCCATTAGAGGAAACATTGAAGAAATTACCTAGCCCTCAAAAACCTATAATAGATCATGAGCTATTTATACTTGTACGTAGCCTCCCAACTACTAAAAAAAAATATGGGAGAGTATAGTCAACGTTAATAAAATATACAATGCCCTTATATGGTTTAAAACAAATAACCATCTTTATAAAGATATAGTGTTACCCAGTTTCGATACTATTCAAGATGAGATACATAATATGGAGGTGGAGTATTTAGAATGTGAAGGAAATGATTCCCATACGGAAGTCGAAAATGTGCCCCTAATTGAGAGTAGTAAAGATGATTATGTCTCAATAAACAAAGAACATGGTGCTATGTTAACCCAGAAGCAACAAGACGATAAATATTACGAACATTTTACAATTCACACATTAAACGAACCACGAAAAAATGTAAAAGCAACAGAGTTGTTCCAAATGTTAAAAGTTAACGAAAATCCAATTGATCAAAGAGACATAGAATTGGATTTAAAGTGTTTTCCTACATTATATCCATTTGGTAGAGGTGGTCAGTATGTCAGTAGACCAATCAAAATATCAGCATCAGAATTTATAAAATCAAAAATGATGTCAATAAACTCTATATTTAGAACCAATTCTCAGTATTTATTTTTCTTGTTACACGAATCGAACATAAGAGCTCTAAAAGCGGGAATTTATCATAAATTAAATGTGTCTAATACAAAAGAAAAATTAACTTCCTCTGAATGCTTAAAACGGCTTGAAAATAATGAACTAGA